CAAACCATGATTGCATATCTGGCAAATACAGAGCTAAATTTTGCAGATATGGGCATGTATCTATGCAATCCCATGGATAAATTATGCAAATTGCACCAAGTTACTCAAACCAATTACCACTGTTAGAAAACACAAGGCTAGATTACAAAAATGTAGTATGAATTATGCAAATAGGGATGTCTTATTGCAAAAGTGGGAATAAATTATGCAAAAGACAGGGAGTATAGGAAAACATGTGAACATACCTGGCATGCATTACATAGAAAACAGGGGCTGTTAGCACATAGAGAAACCTTGTGAGAGTTAAAAGGTGCCCTTTCTGGATGGGTATAATGCAAAATGGCACTTCCCGCTCGGCAGATGAGCACCTGCAGCACCTTCCAGAGACGTGGCTTGGGAGCACCACCCAGCAGGAATCCGGCCCCAACTTGCTCTCTTTGGTCCCCTTGTGCAGTGCGTGACCTGTACAACCATACCTGGCAGCCCTCTCAGATGTGAGCATGCATTTCTGCAAATAAACTAATCACACTCCAAGCCAAGAGTCACCCCTCTGGATTTTTGCAGACACCCATGCACCAAGAAGGTGCCCATGGGGCCTTGCTCACCTGGACCACACCCGGGGAAAAGACAGCAAGGATGAGATAAAGCCAGACATAGGCGAAGATACTCCAAGAGGCAGTGACAAAGAAGACTCTCAGGTGCTTGATCTTGCGGCTCTCACCAGCTGGGATGACGTAGATGCACACCGCGATGACCACAAACATGTTGAAGGCAGCACTGCCCACGATGGTGCCTGGGCCCAGCTCGCCCGCCTGGAAGTTGTGGCCACAGACCTCGATGACCGACAGCAGGATCTCAGGCGCTGAGGAGCCAAGAGCCATGAGCGTGAGGTTGGACACAGTCTCATTCCAGATGCGAACAGTGCCCACGCTGGTCTCGCCATTGGCCTTGGTGATGGTGATCTCCTTCTCCTTTGATGTGATAACCTCGATGGACGCCATGAAGCGGTCGGCAATGATGGACACACCCAGGAACATGTAGACCATGGCCACAAAATATACCACTGCCCGTGCTGCCTTGTCACCCAGTGACGGGTCGTCAGGCTCCCAGACAGGCAGCAGAACCCCCGGCTGGCAGCGGTTGGAGCCCTGGCAGCCTCCAGTGCTGGTATCGCTGTCATTGGCTGGGGGAGGCGGCAGGGAGGGGGTGGGGGTGGCTGCCCCCAAGCATGGGGGTGCCCCCAGGAGGAGCACAACCCCCACCAAGGCCAGGGGAGCCATGGGGGGTGGTGGGGTCCTATGGGGGAGGAAGAAGAAGTCTGGGTAAGGGGGAAAAACCCCTTCCTGTCACATCAAAGCTTTTGGGGGAGGGAAATGGTGGGGGAAGCTGAGGACCAATAAAGGGAAGATGGAAACTGAGGGAGACAGAGACAGAGAGAGATATGGAGAGCAACAGAGACCCCGAGAAAGAGGCATGGAAAGATGAAGAAAGACAGAGGAACTCTCACGTGCTGCTGGTGGGAACAAAACTGATCTAAGCAGTTTGGGAAACTACAGCTGAACACCATGTACACTACAACTTGGCAGTTCCACTCCTAGGTATGTACCCAAGAGAAACAGGTACATACATCCACCAAAAGGCACTTACAAGAATGTTCATAGCAGCTTTATTTATAATAGCAACAATCCTGAAACAAACCAGATGCTTATCAGCAGTAAAATGGAGAAACACACCATGGAGTATTCCTACAGTAGAATATTACATAGCACTGAAAAGGGAGTGAACTACCAACGCACCCAGCACCACAGGGGAATCTCACAGACATTACAATGGATGAATGAAGCCGGGAACAAAAGAACACAGACTTATAATTTAGTGTGAGAGGCAGGGAGATGGTGGCCCTAAATTCATTAGGTGATTCTGATGGTTTCTTACTTGGCCCTCAGGGGGCTCCTACTTGGGATTTGGTGTGTGGCAGGTGCTGGGGGGGGGGGGCTGTCTCAGATGGGGGGGGGGGGGGGCTGT